AGGCAGGAGGATCACTTGAATCCAGGAGTTCGAGGCTGTAGTAAGAGCTATGATTGCACCACTGCACTCCAGCCTGTGCAACAGAGTGAGACCCTATCTCTTAAAAAAAAAAAAAAATATATATGCACATTAGTAGCAAGACCATACAATGGAACAAATAACTCCAAATACCTGGTCTATAGCGAGCTGTCTACCGGGTCACCCTCACAAACTGAGAACTCACATTCTGATGTTCTTTTCGGTGACCTATTTAAGAGCTGAGGGTAGTGGACTTAAAGGAAATGATGGTTTTGCCCAAATGAGCACAACTTCCTCTTTCACCTTCAGCCATGGCTGGCGGCTCATTCACAGGGCAGATCCCTGCCCCCACTGCTATGGCTCCTTCTACACTTAGAGGGAAGGCGCAGGGGAAAGTCGAAACCTAACCTAACACCTAAACAGCACCTGTGGCATACCTGACACTGCATACACACAGAGACATCCTCATTTCAGCCTCACAAGAACGACACAGAGTAGATATTATACCCATTTTATAGACGAAGAAATTGAAGCTCAGAGGTCTGAAAATTGGCACAAGGTCTTGCAACCATTATGGGGTTGCAAATGGGATTCCAAATCAGTTTCCCCAAAGCTCCTATTCTTTCCTCTACACCAAGATTCCTGCTTTAAATTCTCTAATTTATCTTGGACGGGTCATCTTTTGTAACTTAGAGAAAGGAGGGTTCAAATTTAAATTCTTTTTGACAAACATTTAAGCTTCTAATTTAAATGTTCAAAGATAAAAGAAGGAAGGAAGGAAACTAACATACCTTGCCATCAGTCATAAATCTAACATAGCTTACCATCGGTCATAAATCGTTAAGATTACTTAAAGGCCAGTATACAAAGTCATCAAGAAGAACTTAAAATGAATTCACAAAATACAGCAAAGAGAGGATAAAATTACATGAGCTATAATTTTGGACCTTTAGGAGACAAATCTTTTATGGTTTTTATAACCCCAATCCACAGCTGGGCAGGCGGGGAGTGGTGGGTGTTGCAAGATGCAAGGTCTTTTTTTATTTTTTATTTTTTGCAACAGGGTCTCACTCTGTTGCCCAGGCTGGAGTGCAGTAGTGCGATCATAGCTCACTGCAGCCCTGAACTCCTGGGCTCAAGTGGAAGATGCAAGGTCTTTATAGACAATGTCACCCCTGCCAGCCTAGTGTCTGTCCAATACATTTTCCAGGGCCTGGCCTGGAATCGTTTGCATATTTGTCACTTCGATTTTGAGAGGATTATTTATATTTTTTCTCTTCTGACAGTCATGTGGTAAATGGTCGCCTTGGTGATGAAGGGTGTTTAGCTTTTGTAAATACCAGTTGCAGGCCCCTGAAAAGGAGAAGTTGCTGAACACTGACCGAGGAGGTTTCGATGACCTCGCCAACCGCAGGCAGGCAGCATGCTTCACCTCCCCGCCCAAGGCAGGAGCATCAGGCAGGGGTTTCTCCACAGCTCTTCCACATAGCCCCTTCTGTTAGCCCTCCCCCGGGATGCAAAAATGTGACAGGCCTCCAAAGTAGCTGTCAGAGGCGTTCAGACCAGAGCAACTCCATCTTGAGTGAGGGCTAGGAAAATGAGGCTGGAACTTGCTGCGCTGCATTCCCAGAAAGTTAGGTATTCCTAGCCTCTAGATGTTTATGGGTAAGGGAACAGATGGATAATGTTTACCAAACAGACCCAGACTTAGGAGTGTTCTAATATCCCAAATCTGGAGAACAAAGGCAATCCTAATTTTGCTTTAAAGATACTAATACTGATTTTTGAAAAATATAGTAATTAAGAAAATTAATCCTTTATCACAAACCCTTGTAGTAGGACACATCTCTTGATGATCTTTTTATCCTGTATATAAATAAGCATACTACCTAGAGTGGATGCGTTCTCCTCTTACTTTCGGGAACGTCCTACTCTGTCTATGGAGTAGCTGTACCTTCAATACTTTACTTTCTTAATAAGCTTGCTTCTACTTTGCACTGCAGACTTGCCCTGAATTCCTTCTCGCAGGAGATCCAAACACCCTCTTTTGGGGTCTGGATCAGGACCCCTTTCCTGTAACACAGCCACTTGACAATTCCAAGGGCCAGCCTTGCCTTTCCAAAAGTATCAGTGAGGTTTTGTTTGTACTCCTAATGGTTTTTGAGCAAAGCTACAACCGATTCCAGAATCCTCCCTCGGGACCAATTATTACCTGATTCTCAAGTCCAATCCCTGGGTCCTAAAGTGGGATTTGCTTTGGAAACTTCCAACACCATTAGGAAGTGCAAATAAAAATGTCACCGACTGTTCTTGCTGCTTCATTTCACAAGCAAACCTAAAACCAAACATCAAGTAGCCAGGCATAGCCACTGGGCTATTGAAGGATATGAAACAGGCTGAATCACAGACCAGCAGGGAAACAGCCCAGGCAAAGGGGCAAAATTTACAAATGTGTGCTCAATGTATTAAAGCCGGAAAGGAAAACAAGAATTGTTTCTTTTTTTTTCTGTTTTTTTTTTGAGAGACTGAGTCTCGCTCTGTCGCCCAGGCTGGAGTGCACTGACATGATCTCAGCTCACTGCAACCTCCTCCTCCTCCTGGGTTCAAGCGATTCTCCTGCCTCAGCTTGCAGAGCAGCTGGGACTACAGGTGTGCACAACTATGCCCAACTAATTTTATGTTGGCCAGGTTGGTCTCAAACTCCTGACCTCAGGTGATCCGCCTGCCTCAGCCTCCCAAAGTCTTGGGATTACAGGCATGAGCCACTGTGCCTGGCCAAGAATTCTTTCTTTCACTAGCAATATTATCCTCAAATTCAAAAACAGTTTAAGCAAGGGATGTTTGATACAAGCATATTTTGGTAAGATAGTGAAAGCCACAG